ATGCAATAAAGCTATCCTATTCAAACTCTATGTAGCAAACTGAAACCATTGATATACTCTTTCATGATCTTTGACTAATTTAGTTTTAGTTTTTTGTAATTTTCATCTTAAAAGTATATCCAAAATTTTCATGACAAAACGATAAGCAATGTGAAGTTTGCGTGTATACCTTGATAGGCTCGGTTTTTCATGCAGATTTTGAATAATATAGCTTATTACATAAATATTCAGTTTTTATGAAGAAAATGTAGAATAGCAAGTCGAATTCTGTTCTTGATCCAAAATTTACAAAAAAAAAAGATGAGTATTCTAAGCAATGAAGCAATATAATAAAAATGATGCATGCTTTTCTGATTGATGACATGATCAATGGAACGAGTTAAGATATTAGATTTCTTTGCTTAAGCAGTAAAACTATATAGATAGATTTACTAAATATACCTAGATATATTATAGTGGACACAATTCGAAGTATTATGATCAAAGAGTATTTTTGGTTAATGTCAATTTAATATTTTGTCTTGAGTTAGTTTTCAAGCGCTGAATCCAAAAAAAAAGTATTATCAAAAGGTGACAAGAAAAGTGAAGGAAAAAAAATGTTTCACTTTTTGGAAAATGGGTGTTTTTCGACATAAAGCGATACATTCCCAGTTTTTGAGTTTTTGTTGACTGGAAAAAAAACGTCTATAAAAGCTAAGAACTAAATTTTGACGATCAGTAACTTACATTCTAATGAAACATGTGTAAAAAAGATAAACAAAAATATTTACCTGTACCTCATTCGGGTACATAATTAGTAAACAGTGACATCTAAAGTTGTGATTCATTCGAGTGTAACACAATCTAGTGTTTTTACTTTGCGTCTTTAATATATTTATGTAAACAATCGAAGTAGATCATATTACAATTTCTAGAAAATTTTTACGCACAACGGTTTAATGTACACTAGATTTCGAATTGGATTGAGATTTCTATTACAGTTGTATGATTAAAGTATAGACACTTGATAGGATCAGTGATAGTGAAAAACGAATTATAGCGTTATGCAAAAGTTCGATAAACTTAACACGACGAAAAATTTGCTTTATGGAAGTTGTAATTTGAACATCGACATGCGTGAAAAAAAAGAAATTTGCTTTTTGAGAAGAAAAAAAAACTTTCTAATGAAATTACGGTTTCAAGGATTTATATATATTATATATATCTTTCTCTGGAAGCCTTATTTTCTCGTGAAGTGAGTTACATTACCACCGAAAGTAAAATTAATGTGTCACTCCGTAAAAACTGATATTTTTTCTTTCTAACTTATACATAAAACTTCATCAAGAGAATTTATCAGTATGTAGACTGGCTGATTGTTTACCCACAACATATTGTTGATCATACCCAATAGTCAACTCCTTATTTAAATGTTCAAGTGCAAAAATGAGAGCGTATGTTAATAGCGAAAAAATTTCTATGAACTTACATGACCATCCTAAATTATGATAGTATATGCTTATATTACATCACATTTTATACTACCTTGAAGGAACACGCCATGTTTGTATTTTTCTGATTCAGGGTTGTTTTTTTCCTGCTCTTTGTTACCTATGAATCATCGATTTAATTTGTGAACACTCATATTTTTTTCTTTACAAAAAGACGTGTTTTTTTTCAAAAAAAATCGAAACGAAATTTATGTAATATTTAAGTATGTTTTTTTTTTGTTCTCACTGTGTTTAGTATTTACACCAGAGCTCGAAACCGAATCGAATAGGCCAATGATTCGATTCGACTCAGCCGTATCCAATCGATTACGAATTGAATGTCATCGTAGTCGAATCGAATCGAATAGTATTGTTTCATTTTCGAGTCGAATCGATTCGAATAAAGACTGTAAAAAAGCGAATCGAATCGATTCGAATTGACCAATATGCTGGTCGAATCGAATCGAATCTATTTTTTTTCTCTTTCATTCTGTTGACAGCGGCCTCTTGATTTTTCTCATATATCGTTATCGACGAGTGTGTATGAATTGGTATAAAAGATGACCGCTAATAAAGAACGTGTTAGGCCCCAAACAGACTGAATATTGTTATACATTAAATTTGTTTTAATTCAATCGTCGTCCACACTGAAAGAATAAATCACCAATGAGAATGTAAAATATAGCCTCTCTGATGTAGAGCAAGTGCATAGAGCAGCGTCGCTATCATACAATCGCATATGATAACAGAATACTATAAAATCAGTTGCTAGGAGTATAAGATTTTTTGAATCAGTACCTCAGAGCACTTAACCTGATTTTTCCACAACATCTATATCAGTCCTCATCATAACATTATCCATAAAAATTATTGTGATAATTTAAAAAAAACTATCAAAAGTAAATGAGTAGTTATTTATTTATCATAATGTAATAAAACTAATACCAGGTTTAACAATTGATTGGCGTAGAAAAAATCAAAAAATTTTATATAACAGTGGATGAGAAAAACAAAAATATAAAGACGAGACATGCTACAAAAAAATAAATAGTAAACATTTACAAAGGATGAAGTAAAAAGAAATTAACAAGTGCCTCACGTACATCCGTACCGTCATTCGTATGAATGTTACATGAAGGTTTTTTGTGAACAGTACCAGATGTATCCCAATCTATCTCGTCTTTATCTCCATTCATAACACATAGATTATGGAGAATAGTTGCAGCTTTCACAATATTTGTTGTATTGCATAAATTAAATTCCATCTTTTTATGTAATAATCTAAATCGATTTTTCAGAGCGCCAAATGCTCTCTCCACCGAGCAACGAGCTCTGCTTAATCTATAATTAAAATTTGAGTATTTCTTTGGCATGTTTGGTCTTTCAGGAAACGGTTTAATTAGGGTGTGGGTGTGGGGTGTCGGTGTAGGCGGGGGTGTGGGTTCATCTTCTCCTTAACCACACCCACACCCTGATAGTGAATTTCTTGCCTAGATAAGTTGTAAGATATTTGTTAGGAAATCAAGAGATCAAGGTTATTTGAAGTTCAAATTGTCGTATTAACATAGACAACGACACGTGCAATATATTTGAGTGCACTTCAATCAAATGTGTTTCACGACTTATTACTGTTAGTACGTGATAGTGTAATGCTATATTAAACAAATAAGATAACGATAGTTCTTTTCGTTGTATTGTTATGCACTCATGATACACATCCCTTATTTTCTCATTCTTTCTAATATATTCTAATTGGTTCTTTCTCTTTCTGTTCTATGCTTATCGGCTATCAAAAAATTCTGTGACTTTCTAACATTTTCGAGTGAATTCTTCCGCCTTCTTTCGAATCTGTATATATATATATCCGTCATTTGGAAAATAGTCCATGATAAATCTTCTGATTAATATTCTCTCAGATTTCACTTCATCAAAACTTATTTCTCTATGACGAACGTCGTTAACATATGTAAACATTTATATGAAAAAGCATTAGAAAGGTCAAGTGTTCATTCAATAAGCACCACAGAAGAAGAGATATCGATCGCAATCAATCTGCTCGATCTATTAGAGGACCTTTCCAACAGTGACAGCTTTACAATAGAGACAGAAGATTCTCTCGAAGTTTCTGATGTCGATCATTTTGACCCGGACTATCCTGTTGAAATCGAAGATGATGAAGAGCAACAAGTAGTCGAAAGTCGTCAGTTCAGTTTAGAATACATGCAAAGGGTTGTCGACTTTACTCGTCCAGGTGTTGCTTTTACAACCGTACAGCATGCTTTTCGATGAGTTAGACATCCTATGCAATTAAAGCGATTTCGACAATATGTTGCAAATAACGAAAACCGCCGGCAAAAGTTGGAGCGTGTAGAGCATTTTGTACTTGATAGATTTCGCTCTGCTCGTAATAACAATTTACCTGTGCACGATCTTGACGTGAAGCGATGGGTTCTATCCCAAGCAGAAATAGAAAATATAGATGGCTTTAAAGCAAGTGACTATTGACTTCTCAATTTCAAAAAACGCAACGGTATATCTTCCAGAAAAGTGACAAAATTCGTTTCTCATCGGGAAGTTGTTGATAAATCTATAATTAAACAGACTGCTGATGATTTTGTCGCTGAAGCAACCAAACATATACCAAAATATAAGCTTGATTTTGTGCTAAATGCCGATCAATCCAGTATTAATTACGAAATAGCTTCGAATCGTACACTATTTTATACAGGAGAGAAAGCGACTTATCTATCAGTAAAATCTTTGAATGCTATAAGCCATTCCTATACAGTTATGCCGATCATTAGTGCTGCTGATTAGTTGCTCAGTCCTGCTTTTATTTGTCTTCAGGAACCCACAGATCGGTTTCCAATTACAAGAGGGTGTGAATGTGGGGTGTTTTTGGGTGTGAGTGTGAGTAGCTCTAACGTGAAACACCCACACCCACACCCCACCCTGTTACGAATAAAATCAGCATCATCTCAATTTTATTTTTATACTGTCAAAAAATGGTTAAAAGATGTAAAATGGACATCAGAATCGTCCAAACAATGGCAAGAATATTACAATAATGCTCCACGTCTATCTATTTTTATACGAGCAGGACAACTTCAAATTGAAAATCTTACTGTTTTACCTCAATATCAAGATTTTAAATCAGTTCAATGTGAAAAATGAATCATGGAACCTTTTTTTTCTTACCGGAATATTTGTCTATCGATGATTTCATAGTGATGATGTAATTGTCCTTATTCTTAGTTCTTTAAGGTTATTTATGGAAAATTTAAGGAGATATCTTTTGCTTTCGTTGTTTCAAATTATTCTTGTTTAGAAGTCGGAACTATACAAGTCAATTTTCGCCTTAGAATGCTAAAATGTTCGATGAATTTTATTTATATCAGCCTCCGTGAAAGAAAAACAATAAAATTAATTAGTCGAGGTAAATATTAAGGAAATATCGAAGAATACCAATCTAAGAAAAGCGCTTTGTCTATGGAAATGTCTCTTGTAATAGGAAAGCAGTCAATAGTACCATTATTTCTTGACTTTGAACATTGTTTTGAGTAATGGAATTTTTTCACATCTAGAAATATCAATACATATTTCTAAACAAGACAATAAATAGAATCATACTCTTCAATAAATTGTTCTTTAGTTAATTTTTTTTCAGCATTCAAACCAATGAAACTAAAAATTTTTCCAGCAACATTCATAGCTTCATAAGTCGAAGCATTCTGAGTTTTCTTTACACTGGTAGTCTAGAGAAACATATTATAAATCGGTTTTTTATCGCGAGATAATCATTTAAATAGAACTCATTATCTTACAACGATCGAATTAAAAGCTGCTAATTCAGTCATATCCATTCTTCCGTCAAGAGAAGTATCACACCTGAGTAAGTAGATTAACTATGAAAATAAGAAATGACTTTAACAACTACTTACATATCGAATAAATATCCTAATGCTTCACGTCTATTTTCTGCCGATGCAAAAGCATTGGCCATTAAAAATTCCACAAAATCAATCTTTTTATCGTGATTTGAATCGAACAGAGTAAATGCGAGTCTTAAATAGAATGTATTCAAGTGAATTGTAAAATTGATATACTGATATGACTCTGTTTCTTTTCTTTTAATGTTCAACAAAGTCGATAAATGTATGAACATACTCGCGAGGAAAGTTTCGTATAGTGCTATCTTCCTTTTGTTTCTGATAGAATTTTTCGTATGTTTCATTCGTCATTATGCCGTCCGGATTGTCATGCCAGAATTCCTAGTAAGGGAAAAGATGGGAATAAATGTATATCAAAGTTGGTCATATTTTATATCTACTGCATGTAATTTTTTAATGTCTACAACGAGAAAAATAAGTAAATGATATATATATCGAACGAAATAGATTTTTGATTACCGCTTTCACTAAGTTTTGAACGAATTTTTAATACTGCCATGTCTACAATGAATAATGAATCATTCTAGTTAAAGTAATTGTACAATATAGAAGAATTAACCTTCCGCTGTTAATTCTTTGCCTGCACCAGGTTTAACAGTAGTTGTAGCACTCATAATGAATGATTGTGTTAGAAATCAGTGACTGTAAAAAAAAAGAATGATATGATATATATAGTTATAAAAAGAAAGAAGAAATCAATAGATCGAGAATGAACGATTGAAAAAAAACTGGAATCAACGAACTAGATATCAATAGAGACAAAAAAAGACATAATGATACTTAACTTTTATTCTATTTGATCAAATAAAAGACAACTGGAACGAGTTATATTCTTTGTCTTATTTGAATAATATTTTTATAAAGTTAGTATGAGTCAGAGACCGTCACAGGGCAGTTTTTTTATGTCCTGCCCTACTCTGTACTGATGGTGATTCATAATATTTTTTTCCGCCCTGAGGGCAAGGCAGGGCGGCCCGGAACTTGGAAATTTAGCTTAAATTAGAAAAGATCTAATGACTTTAAAAAACCTTGTGATGGTAAAATTTTAAACATTTGTTTAATTCTATTCGATTCAAAGTTATTTGTTTCGATGAAGTTGTAGATGAGGTAAAAATAAGGGTCTCAATTTATATTTACCTTTCATTTAATTTACACGTAAATTAAATGAGATAAATAATTTATATTTATAATGAATATAAATTTCTCATAATTTATATTTAAATTTATTATAAATATAGATTATCTTGTTACAAAATTTATACTCACTAATAAACATAAATATACATTTATTCGTAAATATAAATTATAATTTACACTTATTTGTAAATATAAATTTTGTAACAAAATAATTTATATTTATTATAAAATAAACGGTAAATGACACCCATAGGTAAAAGTGATTGATTATGAAAATGATGATGTTGTTTTGGAGTTCAGTGCTGAAAAATATTTATCACCATGTTTTTTAAAACATTTTTCACCATTTATTGTGTTGTAAACTTCATTGCTCATACATTTGAAACCACTATGAAATTCAGGAGTTCTTTCTAAATGATTATTACTTAATTATGCTGGATAACCAAATACTCTTCACCATGTAGCAGCAGGTGAAGATCCGTTCTTTATTATTTGATATTTCGATTTTTCGGTCAGTAATTGATGTTTAATCATTGCAGTATCGAATGAACTCTCATAGTAAATGACAACAGATCGAAACGTCGAAGATAGAAAATTGAATGAAATAACTGAAACTACGCAGAAAATTTAATTAAAAAATTTGAAGAAACTTGAATATTGACATGTTTTAAACTTTTATATGAAATATGCTGTACAAAACGAAGTACATGTGTGAAACTATTTGGAAGAAGAATATATGAATATACTTAACAAAAAACTGAATTTTTCTCTTATATAACTCTGCATCATTGAAAAATGCTTTTTTTTTTCTCTTCAAATCATCTGTATGTTTGTATACAAAATATAAATGGATTATATGATATCCAATATAATAATAAAGTATTGTTCTGACCAGGTATAATGTCAAAAGTTATGATAGTCAGTTTATGGCGATATCTATTACAATTGCTCATAATAGCAACATATCAAAATTATTTACTAGAAAACCTGTTTCATATAACTGTCTGGAGAAAAAAAAACAGGGCAAAATATTTTTGCCCTGCCCTGTGAGGGTCTCTGGTATGAGTAGTACAATCTGTTTATAAACGTTTATGGTAGTTTCTCGTCACATGTACTGTGTTTTTTCTTTAATGTCCTATGAAAATAAAAGAAAAAGAAAAAACTACTTGTTTTTACTTTCCGCTACATAATACAATATACAGGGCCAAATGTAGTAAGGTTGTTCACATTAGACAGACTATACTTGTGATTGATGCTCGAAATCCAGCAAGGTAAAAGCTAATGTACCTCTTTTCTTCGTACATAATGAATCATATCGTTTTACGGTTATTTAGACATGAAATATTTTTAATATTGAAGTCAAATTACATTAATTTTAGAAATATTGAAAACTTATAAATTGTTCTGTCTATGTCAACTAGACTATGGACTGTTTTTTATCTTGATTCTTTTACTTCGAATTACTGTCAAAACTTCTACAAGAGTCATATTTCTTTTTTTTTTTGCAAGTACATGAATCAGCAATCATGTTCTTATTGAATATATTTTCTGAATGATTTCTTTTCTTAATTGTGCCATTGAGAGAAAAGAAAGAATTCAATTAGCGTCACTCTTCCAGAAAATTGATGCTCAACTCGAGTATCACCAATATATCAACTAATTGAAAAATTTTTCTGTAATAAAGAACTGTTATAGAGAATGAATCAATATAAAAGATTTGGTCAGTTTCACTTACGATTCGAAAGATAAACGTTTAAAATCATTTCATTACTGAGAGTAATTAAGAAACAAATAATTCTAAGAATATATTCCATTCGTATTGAAAATCATAATGATAACTGTTAATGGTGACTGAATAGTGGAAATTATAGGCGGTCATTTATTATTAAAATCGATTTATTCTACTTCAAATACAGAATTCATATTAAAAAAAATGATCATAAATCAACAGCAGATGAAGATTTGTTTTTAGAGCCATTTGATAGAGAACATCTTATTCTACAAATCTAATATGTTTATTTTTTACACAATCTTTTTTTTGATCGATATAAAATTTAAAATAGAAATAGCTAATCAATCGTTTAACTAATTGATCCGATTTTCTACAGGAACTTATCTCTTTATATAATTATTTACTAACCCTAATGAAAGAACTCATCGTGTGATGATGCCTCTTTTGTGAATAGTCCTATCTGCTTTTCAGTATACTCTGTAGGTGAATATAAAATACTCATAAGCGTGTATTTGTGTTAGTACTGTTGTGCTATATCAACTTTTATTTATTACCAAAATCTACAATCACACACAGTGAAATTTGAAAAAAAAACATCAAAACTAGAACTACAAGTTTGACTTTAGATTTATGTATTTTAATGCAAAGAATATAGACGTAGAAATCTTCACTATTTGCGAAAAAGTTTAAATTATTTCCTATCTCTTTATAAAATGAAAATACGATTATAATGACTATTTGTTTTCTTTTTCGATCATTGTATTGAAAAAATCGTATTTTCATTATATATAAGTAAGAAAATATCTAACTAGCTTGAGTCACAAAAGAAAATTTTTGTCTATACCTTAAATAGTAAGAATAAAATGAAACATCGATGCAAGATAGTACATATAATGATGAAGAAACAATAACAAATGTTTTACTGATAATGAGAAACAAGAAAACAAATAAACGTATCAAATTGCTTACTATTACAAAAAAACAGAAATAGATATCTTTAAACTAGTAACTAGTTACATTCGAATAGTAGTTCACAAGGAACTAGATAGAAAACAAAATCATTTGCCAATAGTATATTCACGCATCTTAGTCTAATATTACGATCATTATTTTTAACAAATTCGTTGGTTGATTCCTCGTCCAACGATATTCCACAATCAATCAGACAAATTTAATTTAAATTGATGAAATATACTTAATACGAATCTACATAAATATGTTTTCAAAACTTAAATCTTATCCAAGAAGCTAACAAATGAAAAACAAAAATCATTTTTCTCTTCCGTCTGCAAGTCACCAATGATTTTAATTGTGTAAATAACTCGACAAAAAGTTGAGAATCAAATAGATCAATCATTAAAACAATTTTTTTCTCTATTTTTCAATTAGTAGCATCATTCTCGTTAACTAAGTAACTTCAATTTATTTTTGTATATAATAGTGCATAAGGGCTTCCTTAAATATTCTGTGTAAAACGATTATGAGTACTCACTCTGGAAAGTCGTACTCGCTTGATGATTATTTTCATTAGGGAATGAAAATTTATGCTTAAATTAAAGTATTTTGTATCGATGAATACAAAATTACGTATTCTCTGTTTCCAAGTCCTTCTCAGGTTCTTTTACAAATATTTTTCAGAATAGAAAAGCTTCGAATAAACACCTTCTGGTATTTTGAGATACATCCTCGAAAATTATGTTTTCCAAAACAAACCTTAATCTACAACAATCGCGAAACATCCATTTAAAGATACGAATTCAAATTTCAGCAAAACCTGCTCGAGATATTTCTCTTTTTTTTCTGACTGCCTTAGTTAAGCATATGAATAGATATTGGTCGTTTGAACTTGGTACCGACAAAAACAGTTACTTGGAAAAAAAAGGATTGAGTCCAAAACAAAGTCTTTAATGCTTCGGAAAGCATTCTTACCAAAAGAAAAGACTTTTAGCCGTTGATTATGATCTACTCATTACTATCATCTTATTTTAAATGAGCAATTAACCGCTTGACACCATCAAGATTTTCACATTGAAATATTGACATGTATCTCAAGTATAAATTAAAATGGCTTTGTTTCATAGAGAGAGAATAACTTTTTGATGACGAAGTTTGTCAATCTAGAAAATTTCGATGAAAAAAAACACACTTGTGTGATTGATAGTTTAATTTTCCTTTGAAAGAGTG